CGATGATCGAGTGAGATATTTTTCTTCATAAAGAAGGAGATTTTATAGTTTGAAATACACAAAGAAGTAAGTTTCGACATCACAAATAGAGAGATTTCTTTAATTTGTGAAAATACCCCTTTTTAAGAAAAATCTTTGAAAATATGGCTGCAGAAAGTGGAAGTTCCCCGGTCAAAGTGGGAGAGTTCACATGTATGTCTCACATAAAAGTTCATATACGATATCGTGTGTAATGCATGTATCATTATAAGGACATAAGCGACAAGAATACCATTGAAAAAAATCATTTTTTTTAAATGAAGGGTTAAACGACTTGCAAAGAAAAAATGTACATTCATTATAAATGATAATTTTAAACAGCTTTCATTCATGATTCTAGCTAGACATTCAAACTAAAAAATAATCGGAATGGCACTACTTATTTAGTGTATATACCTACCCTAACGGATTGATAGTGATCGGTCAGGTAGAGTTGATCTACTGCCAAGAAAAATAAAAAACAAAGTTTCATCTCCTATAGACACGATCTACATGACTTCTAAATTTCTAGCCTTTTCCTGAAAGTATACACATCTATCAACTATTATTCATCGATTGTAAAAATCCCTAAATATGTTTCCTGTCTTTAAAATAGGTGTAAAATAATTAAATACAAAGCAACCTTTTAATCAATACATTATAATATTCACTCGCATCAATACACAATTAAAAAAATGGGATTGGTGGAGTAATGATATCTTGAATAAATTACTCTGCTCGATTTCGATGGTACAGACCAATTGTTCAATATGTAAGATTTATCATTCGTGATTTTAGTTTAAAGTCGCCATTTAACGCTGAGCACCAGTCGTAATGTCGACTAAAATTGAGGCTACAAATGGGGAAGATATTTTAAAATTCAAGGTCACATTGAAGGAATTTGATTTTAACTCGTATTTTAGCATGAAATAAAAGTATTTTTGCAGGGTGTTATTTTATTTCATTTTGTGAACTTTAAATTTAATATTCTTGTTTGTGGTTGCGTCACTCGTGTAAATACTGTCTTTGAAGCTTACGCATGGAAATAAAATTTCTTATTACATGTGTCAAAGCTACCTTATATCAGAAAAGCTCTAAAGCTAGACTTTATAATAATCAAAGCAGCATATTTATACTTAAAATGTCAAGTCTGAAAAATAATGTAGAAATATATTTTGTTTTAAAATTTTATATTTTATACAGATTAATACCTTGGTTTGTATGTATATGTGTATGTATGTGCGCACATGCGTGTATGTATTTCAAGAAAGATTCAGTGTGCAGCTGAACACCTATATCAGACAGCTTTTAAGGCACAATACTAGGCATTCATGTTAAAATATTATATAGACGCGATATCGTACCTATAGATGACGGGCTTATCGGCTCTATCAAACCGAGCTTGCAACATTTTCAATTTGGCCCTGTTGGGCTTTCTTTAGGGATTCTTATTTGGGCTATTTTACAAAATAGAGAAAATCAGCAACTATTTTGGACTAGGGAATTATATACTTCTTAAAATATTTAAATTGGAAGCTAATATTTGTTTTATTTTTGTTTTAGTAAGGGAAATGCACCGGAAACAAAATTGGATAGCCAGAACTATTTAGAAAATGAGTCACCAGAGTGAAATAGAAAAGAAGAAGTACAGAAACTGGGTCAGAGGATGCCTTGCATACAAGTATCTAAAACAAGGTCTAGAAGGTTTTGCGGAAAATGTTGTGACAAAAGATCACGGACGAATTCTTAGATCTATAAATTTAACACCTGGTACTACCTGTAACCGGTGCAGCATTGGAAGCCTTCGCCCATTACATCAATGCAGTTCAAATCATTCAGGCCGTAATGATTGCTTTTTGGGCCTAAACAGATGTAATTGTTTACACACAAACAGGCACAAATGTCGTTTTAAAATATGTGATTTCTTTATGGAAGAAATATTAAAAAGCCATGGATCCGCTCCACCAGCACCAAACTGGGCAATTACAGACATACAAAAATGGTGTACGGAACCGTGGGAGGTCGCCAAATGTTTCATAAATGCACCGGGATATTCAGACAAGACAAAGGCAGCTGATATAGACATATCTGGATTGCTCCATGTCTTAAGGTAGACCATGGGTAATGCATTACCTCCACTTTGAAGAGTATTCAAATAGGCTAGAATCGCTTGTAAACTACATTGAAATTGAGGGGCGTGGGTTCAAACCCCAGAAGGGGCAATTTTTTTTCTTTCTTTTTTTCTTTTTAACATTTTTTATGTATCTCTCTGATCCCTTATGGAAGAAAAAAAGTTTGATTTTAATTATATAATTATTTTAGGTATTTTTTTGGTTAAATAATGCCAAAATTTATAGCAAATATGATACCAGATATTTTCAAAGTTCGATAAAATAAAAACTACACGGTAAAAGTATTTTATATTTCGCATGATCAACTAATATACCTTTAAAAAAAATTAGGCAAAGTTTGAAAACAGACCCTCATTTCGATAAATTTTAGGGATATTTTGAATAAGGCATTTTAGATAGGGAAATGGTAAAATTAGTGTTAAAAGTGGGTGGGGTAGGGTTACATTTTTATACATTTAAGAACATTTTGTTTAGAACCAAACATTTTGGTAGTGTAATGTGTTACTTGAATGTTATTATTTGTTTCTTAACAATGAGCAATAGAAAACATTTTTTATAATGATGATATTACAGATTATTTACAGTTTACTCATTTCTGAAAATAAGCCCTTCAAATGGCAAGGTCTTAGTTCAGAAATATATCCATAACTCATAAACCACACTGTAAATTTTATTTAAATTTTGCATACAGGTGACCTTGAAGACATATAACTGTCCTATGTTGTCAATTTTACAGTTCTTTATGGTGCCCATTACCCATGGTCTACCTTAATAAATAATACTAATCTTCATTCGCATTTAGCATGCTCAATGACTGGTAGAAACATATTAATCAAGGTAGGCATAACGTGATATTATCAATACAAGGTTTCAGAATAATAAAGCATTTAGAGAAAAACGATCTCTTTCTTACAGTTGCTAGAATATGTTTAGCCTACTTGAGCACAAAATGAGCAGAATGAGTGTGTTCAGAGATGACATTGTGTGAAATTGTAATTATATGTTGGCTGCCGTCCGTGGCCAGTCGTGCATCGTTAATATACATTTTATTATATTGTTTTTTCCTTAAACACTTTGAAAACAATTTGTAAACAGGGATTGTTAAATGTGTGAGATTTCCTCTACAAAATGATTTCAGTCTGATGCATAACTAGCTCACGGGAGCTAATATGGACTTAATAATGAAATTGTTAAAGATCTTCCGGTTCCTAGAATTTTCTAAAATAAAACATGCCAAGAAGGTAGAAGTGAGTTTAATCACCCCTTTGGACATTTACTTTCATTAAATTTTTAAAAAGAAAACACCTTTTTTTCTCTGTTAGACAACAGGAAAAAATTAAATTCTTCGAATAACAAAGCCAGTAACATTGTCAAAAGGATCCTTTTCACACTTAACTGGGGGTTTTATGAATATTTTTTGTCAATTTCTGCACACTTGAAAGGGTACAAAGAAAAAAATGATATTTGTAATTGAATTTTTATGTTTTAATAATTTTTAGCATGTCAAGAAAGATTTATGAATACTTTGTTACAGTTACCTGTCATTTATACTTGCAAATATGATTTATGTCTATTTTTCTAAGATTAACAAAATGATTTCACGGTCTCACTACAAAAACATTTTCATTGTACTGTATTTAAAGTATAAATTATTTTGAAGTAAATTTCCTATATGTAGACACGCGACAGACGAAATTCTATCTTTCATTCACCATCAATGGAAATTGAAGATACAGAGGTAAATGAATGTTTGAATGATATAATTGCAATTCTGGAAGACACTAAAGAATTAAAGACACGAATAGATTCCGAAAGAGCAGTTATGAAAGTCAAAGAGGTAATGCATCCCAAGTCTGTTTTTCACTGAAATAAAAACATAAGTACTATGATAATATTGATCCATACTTCAAGAACTTTTACTAGCTATGACGGAAGCTGTTCAGGTGATATATTAAAATATATACGGACGATTTGCATAACCTCATACTGAATGTCATGTTTTCCACAAGTTCCATAAAATAAGCACAGTCATAGATGTAATAGTATCTTTTGGTTAAAGACTTAACACTAAGTCAAAATATATTCATGTTAGATCATAACTTTTAAAACCATTCTACATTATCCTCTTATCATTTCTATATTAGACTGTCAGAAAACACATTGTGATTGTTTCTCACTTTTCAACGTGAACAATTATGATAACAATAGGCTTTACCCTATGGTTTATATTTGCTCATATGAGTTAAAAAGTGGTATATATTTGCAAGATGAAAAACAATGACTTCATAATAACAACCCACAACGAGATTGAGGTATGCCGGGAAGTTTTATCTACGGTCAAAAATAAGACTATATTCCTGGAACAACTGATTAAAGATACAATGAATGACATCAATTTGAATAGGGGCGATGCTTTTAAAGCCATAGATGATAAAATGCAAGCAACTCTTCAAGATGCCCAGAAGCGCTACAAAACAAGGCGAAATCAAAAACCTGAAACAATCAGTGCAATTGATGAATGCAAAAGTGGATTCTTTTGAGACGGGTTTTAAAAAGGGTTTGGTTTTAATGCAAAATTTTTATATTTTTTATATATTTTCTTTAAAGGCCGATTTCAGTAAAAATAGTTATGGGGTTGTAACCATTGTATCCAATTTTAAAAGGAAAGCTTTTCAAAAAAGTGTTTTCTACCCTGTTTTTGGATGCTTCAGTTATAGTACTTATTGTAGAATTTCTTATTTATTTCCCCCTTTGAAAACCTTATTTTGAAGGATGTTATCAACGATTCCTGAAGCATTTGTCTCATTAAAAAAAATAAAATTAAATTATAATTTATAATAACTATGAAAACGGGTGAAAAACAATTCATATAACATAACAAGTCTAAATATTCCTTGAAGTTCTACAGGTAAATGCAATAAAAAAAATTAATATGAACTCGTAAATTTCTTCTTTTAGCGTCTGACACAGATGGAAAATGAAATAGCTGCATTGAAAGATGCAGGTGATCAACAGAAGACAAAAGACAGGCTGAAATATTTGGAAGAAAAACAAGGTAAGACTGTATTTTCATAGCTGACTTGTTTGTGTGATGACAGGTCAGACCCGGACCAATGCCTTACAGTTTGGGACTCACTGAGCTTACCTAATTTGTGGCACCGTTTGATTAATGGATAACTGATTGAAGAGTTACTCTTGTCTAAGATTTCCTAGCCAACTTGAATGAAATTATCATCCGCATAATGATATTAAAATGATATTCAATTTCAAGTAACAAAAAGTGGCGCTAATCATCTTTTCAACATCTAAGTATATATCGGCGTGATAAATAGAAAAATAGAATAGGATATTGGAATAAATTACACTTTACATTTACACTGATTTATTATTAAGACATTAACAAAATTAAAAATAAAGCGCATTAATTTGACAAAATTTGTCCATAGATATTTTGACTTTTTGATCAAAATAAACCAGAGAGAATAATGTTTTATTTTGCCAATTGGTGCCAAATTTACGGCTATGCATTATTTTAACAATTTTATTTTTATCACAGAGCTGCAAAATGAGCTTGTTAAAACTTACCAGAGGTATAATGTTAAGACATCATTTTCACCATTGATGCAACAAAAAGATAACATCAACGTTAAAGATGTATTTGTGCCTCCCGTGATAGAGGTACTCGAGGGGGGTCAATCTGTGGATATGGACAACGATAGGACAAAGAAGATTGAGAAATTAAGAACCCTTAATGAAAGTCCAACACGGAGAAACGATGTCCTGGGATATTCCAAACCAAACCACAGGAACATAAGATGTAATGTTGGGTCAAAAAGTATACATCCTGCAATATGATCAATAGAAACTGGTGTAAAGCTGTTCTAGATGAAACCGAAGCAAAGTCAAGGATGGCATATGTAAAAGGCTATAGTGACATCTTTGAAACAGGGGAACAGCAACAAAATAAGATTTATGTATTAGGTGATGTTGGAACTGGAAAGAGTACTTTCTGTAAAATGATGATTGAAAACTGGTGTCACGCTGTAACTAGAACACCTGAAAGAATTGAAAGTAATAAAGAACAAAAAGAAACAAAATGCAACGTCGTGAAAGGATGGCGTGATGGTGTCCGTCATATGGGACAATATGAGTTTCTCTTCTTTATACCTCTGCAGTACATGTCGGCATTTAAGTCTGACGACACTATTGATATGATTAAAGAATTAACAAATCATCTTACTTCTAATACGGATTTAATCGACAAAATATTTCAGAAAGATTCGAGGAGTTGTCTAATCATCGCTGACAGCTTGGATGAATGGACGCCTCCAAAAGATTTTGTGCGTAAACCACATGTTAGTTACGGTATACCAAACGGAGACCGGTTAAACGATGCGACAGTCATTACATTATCTAGGCCATCTGCAAAAGTAATTCTTAATTTGAAAAACTCAGAATTTGATATCAAATTGCAATTGTTAGGAATATCAGAAGAATCGTTGATGTTATTTATCGAACGATATTGTTCTAAATTGAACTCACCTGAAAAATCTTACAAATTCTTTGAAATATTGAAGTCAAAACAGATAGAGCATATGACGAAGACGCCATTATTTTTGCAACAACTGCTGTTTTTATATTGTAATGGTTATGAACTGGGAAATTCTGTGAGCGAAACGTATTGTCACATATTGAATACCATGCTTGGCTGGTCAGATCATAAGACAGAAGAGCAAAACAATGATGAAAGACATACTGTTAAGCCTAACACTTTTATAAGTCTACCTACAATGGTACACAAATTTCCAAGATTAGAGGCAAACAAACATGTCCTAATTCGACTAGGAAAAATTGCGTTTGAAACATACACTTCCGGGAGTATTCGAACCACATTTGAACAGTCTTTTCTTATGAAAAATGATATAACGAAAGGTGATATCGAAGAGCTTACACAATTTGGAATCTTGAATAAAAGCAACTGCTGCGACCGAATACTTGAAGATACACAATTTGATATTATCCATATCTCTTATCTTGAGTTTTTCGCCGCATTGTATTTTGTAACATTCTATAACATGGAACAAACCACATCTGTTGAACATGAACTATTTCATAAATGTAATTCAGCTAGTGATGTATTGCAGTTATCTAATTTTATTAGAATGAGTTGTGGTTTATCCCCCGGTGTTATAAGTGATTTGTCAAAACAGATTTCATGTATAGTGAATAAGGATGAACATGTTTTACATATAAGAAGAAAAGAAGGTTTAAATTTGCATGATGAGATCGTTCAGATACAAAGTCTTATGTTCAATTGTCTCAAAGAGTGTGGTTCTGAAGACACGACAATGATCAGTCTGAGTGATCTTGTCATTAAATTCGATGTACCTATTCCGCCTTTACAAAGAATCAAACCTGATGATGTAATTTCTCTTACGTGTGGACATACTTCCGAACATATGTTGGATTTTTTCAGCAAATGCAACAATTTGCAGTACATTCATATTAACTGTTTGTGATCATGTTTTCACTGCATGGTGACGATTGCGTGATTGACCTCTCTTCGATGAAGCAGCTTCAGGTTCTTGATTTGTCCATCTGTAATTATCATAGAACATCTGCCGAGACAGATGCGGGAACGTTTGCCATGAATAAATTCAAAAAATTTCGTCTCTTAACACTGAACAACTTAAACAGGTACACATGACAGGTTGTACAAATGTATTAGATTTGGACTGTTTATTATATGCAAACAGACTTACTGAGCTTTACATTGAAATTTATACTGGTAATTTGACATTGCTACAACTCATATTACAAACAGCACCGTTAAGACATTTGAAATTAAATCATGTAAATGGTTACCAGTACAAACTTCATGAAATTGAACTGTATAAAATGAATGATCTTTAAACTCTTACGCTTGGCAGTTGTCGCATTAAATGCTGAACAGCTGGAACAGGTTCATATTACAAATTGTACTGATATTATAGATTTCAATTGTGTTTTTAATACCAGCAGACTGACTGAATTTTACATGAAAGACTATTCTGGTGATTTAACATCACTACCAGCAGTTTTACAAACACCGTTAAAGAACCTGACATTAGAAGCGGTAAAGTGCAATTGGTCACAATATCATTATATTGATCTGTCAAGGACTTGTCTCCAAGTTATTCGCATGGAAATGTGTCGTAATCTTGTTATCACAGGATTTAACACTGAAACTCTTGAACTGGACAACAGCAATATATATTCTAATGTACTAGAATTAGAGTATGGTTCTTCATCTTTTGTCGATAATCCCATTCGCATTGAACGTTTGAATCTTAACAATAAAATGTACTTTAAAGACGTTAATGTTGATAAGACTGCACTGGTATCATTATTACAAGATAACATTTTAACAAAACTTACTATGAAAGGTGTATATGTTGACAGGTCTAAAACTTGTCCTGGTATGTTCAGTCCCGATATTTTATCAAATTCCTGCAGGCTGACTGAACTGTCCCTACAATCTAATTATTTTTGTAAACTTCATTTTAGCAAACAATTAAATAATTTAGTTCATACATTACATCAGCTTCAGAACTTTACGCTGGAGAGTGTACAAATAGATGATAACGCACTTACTGTGATACCAGAGATGAACAGTCTTACTCTCATTAAGCTGAGATATACAGTCATGAGTCAGAACACGTGGTGTACGTTTGTTGATAGTCTTCTTACTCTGCTTCAGCCTGTTGAGGTTAGCGCAGGCCAATTACAAACTGAAAAATGTGAATATGTTCGTACTAATCCACAGTTTAAATTGATAAGAGAGATCACATTTGATTTTCAGTTTAAATCAAGGATATAATGCTATTGTGCAAAGTGGACTATGGTATCCGAGTTTGAATATATTTTGTTTGGCAAATTCAAAAGTCATCATTTTACACCACAAAATGTATGGTGAGCATAATACTTATGTTTATTTGTTCCAATGTATCATTATTTCAATATATGGTCAGTGCATGTTGTGTATTGGTTTGACATCTTTACATTATCACTTTAAATGGATTTAATAACCACTAAAACCAAAGATGAACACAAGATGAACGAAATGTACGGATCTGATCATTTTATTAAGAACTTATAGTTTCATTTAAAAATAAACATATGATTTCCTTTGTTTGTTTAAAATTATCTATTTTAATGTATTCATAGACTTTGTATGTATTTTTCTTAATGTGATGACCACTCAATAATATAAGGTTTTGTTTCTTTAAATTAAATAATGTTTCAATTATTATATTAATAGTGTATGAAAATTCCTAAGGAATTCGAAATTTCTTCAATGAGGGACAATAGTGGATTATCTTCCCTTGATAAAAACCGAGGTTAACCAAAATGTAAGTAGGTCCAAATATTTGGAATCCTTTGCTTTTATCGTTGAGTTTTATGTAAGACAGGTTGATATGTTTTAATAAATTATTTCCACATGCATCAACAAATATGTAAACAATAAGAAAAAAATGTTTCATTTATGTCAACAGATTCTACATCTTATCACAATATTTAATCTGAATATTACAAATGATAATAATTAGCCCTAATTAATTCAGTTTGCTACAAAGAAATAGGCGATAAAGTCCGAGTTATCCAATTGCTTAGGACCTATCTATTTATAGGGAGTACTCAGGGGAGGTTATTCACTAATGTCCCCCATTAATATAGTTTTTGAAAACTAAATAATGACATTTTAGTTAAGTATGGTGCAAAATAAAATTCATGCATGAACACTATTCATAATATGATTAGATGTGAAATTTTTTGCACTAAGACAGTAGAAATTGTTATGTGTTTAGATATGTCTTCAAGAAAAATTGTAGTAATGTGCGTTATATTACGTATATAACTATATAGTTATGTTTGGCAGAGCAAACATGTTTTCAACGTTTTATTCAAATATTTTATATACTTTTTCGATTGTTGTCAGGGTAATTTATAATTATGAATTGATATAATTTCATTATGTCTGTTAATTGTAAGGTTTATAAAAATGCAAATGTTGTTTAAAAAAGAACAACTCATTCTGACTTTATAATAAGGAATGAAATATACACCCTGTATTTTTAAAAAGGAATGGTATAGGCATTTGACTTTACAGTAATGAATGTGTAATCTTCCGGCTTCATTAAAAAAACATGCTGACTTAACATATATGAGTGGTTTATTAATTCTCGCAATACAGTAAGGAGTGGAATAGACATTGTGACTTTACAATTCGGAATGGAAAAGACTGTCTAACTATGCAATACGGAATGGGAAAAACTGATTCTAAGAATGTACAGTCAAACTGGTATTACAACAACAAATAAAACAGAGTGTCTGGCTTTCAAAACGGACATCCCTACTTTACGATAAGGAATGAAAATACCTTCTGATTGTTCAATTAGGAATGAAAAAGACTGTCCAACTGCACAATTAGGAATAAGATAGCCATTTCAACTCAAGCATAATAAAAATTAAGTTAAATAAAACGCTAATGAATGCAAAAACGTAGTGTCTTTACTGATAAAATGACTCTTATATCAGGAATGAAATAGACTGACTCTTCTAAAAGGAAAATGATAATAAAATGGACTGTGCAATGAGGAATGAGATGTTTGTTTTAGAGTAACATAAAAAGAAACATGATATATTTTAATTGAATATTGAAATTCAGCATTGGCTTTGTCGATATCATGTATCTTGTATATATGTGTTATATATTAAGTTAACTTATGTTAAGAGTCAGTGAAGTATTAAACAGAGTCTTCTTAATTTTTAGACCATAATGTTCATGATTCTAAATGATGTAACATTTTCGGCGCATGAAATTTTATTTTGTTATTAATTTGTGATTTATGTACACCTTTACATTTATGTATAATGTTGATTTATAATATGGCATTTTTTTCTGTTTCTTGTCATTACGACATTATGTGATCATGCAAGACACGTTTACGATTTTGTTCCTTGTGGATAGTAGTTTCATCTAATTAAAAACATAACACAAACTGTCTTACAAGGACGCTCAGAAATTCAATGAAATGTATTATAACATGCACCAGTTAAGTTACCTGATAGCTCTTTTTTGTCCATAATTGATCAAACCATTTCTGAAAAATGCAAACGCTTCATCATAATTTTAATTTCACAGAAACAAAATTGTAAACCGTGCTTCCACATTGATTTATAAATATCTTACAATTTTAATTAATTGATAAATAATATTGACTTGTTTGTTTGTGCATTTAATCACAAACAACAACACAAAATGTTATTGTTGTATGTAAAAGAAATTTAGTAATATAATTATTTTGTTATGTTTTAGAAATAAATAAAACATCGATATGAAAAGTATGATTATGAAGAAATTGTGAATGAAACAAATGATCAGACTTTCTAAACATTTTAACAATCTACCACTAAGTTTTAACAGAATAAAAAATGCATTAAGTCCGAGCATACAATATTTTAAGCATAACAGCTACTAATTTGTACTATGTGAACAAAAATTACCTGAAATAATGCACGGAAGGACACCTGAGGTCTTCCTCCACCAGTTAAGCTGGATCATCGCCATATGACCTATACTGTGTCGGTGCGACGTAAAACCCAGTCAAACAAGCAAACATCACAAAGGAACAACTTGAAAAGGGCATATTCAAGTTCCTCTTTATTTTTAGAACGAATACGCCTCATGTAAACCTTCAGTTTGGGAAACAGGCCAAAGTCACTGGGATTTATGCCCGATAAATAAGGTGGGTTGTCTAGGGTTTCGCACTCATAACGATCTAGCAATGACGTTACACCGTGGGATGTTGCATTGTCGTGTGGAAGTACTGCACCGGATGTTAATAATTTAGGTCGTTCTATTCCTTCGGACTGCCCTTGTGTTTCCCCCATGGTATTTCCATTAATGTTTTACAGTTGAATAATAAAATAATTATTTTTTGTTGTTGTCATATTTATTACACACCTTAGACAATAGATTGCACATGTATCGTGCGAAAACAAAATATGATAAAACTAAAAATAAATCCTGTATTTATATTAAACAAACTTGAATTTTCAGTTAGCGTAGCCACGAGTGATATTTGATAATTTTATACCACGAGATGAAAATTAATCCCGTTATCACTGAAAAACAAGAATGTTCTGTTTCTTATATATTACATTTCTCTGTTATATGATGATGAAAAAGCTATTACAGTTGACTTTCTTTCTTTCTTTATTATTTACATTTAATATGACTGTAGAAGAAAGTAGTCAAGGAAGACACCAGTGAAAGTATGAAAAATATACGGAATAGCGTTAGTGCCAGGTGTGTGTTTTTATTAACTGGAAATTTGGACTTACTTATTTGAAATTTCGACCGTAACTCGAAATTTTGACTCACTATCCCGACATTTCGACTTATTTACTCGACATTTCGACTAAAAAACTCGAAAGTTTGACTTACTTACTCGGAATTTCGACTTCTTATTTCGAAATTTCGAGGTACAAACTCAAAATTTTGACTTATTTTCCATTATAAAGTAGATATATAAGCAAAATTTCAAGTTAAGTTAGTCCAAATTAAGTGTAACTTAGTCAAAATTTTGACTTACTTAGTAGAAATTCCGAGTTAACAAGTCAAAAGTTCGTGTGACGCAAGTACTGTATATTCTCTTACAAAAGTGTTGCAAAATGTTAGATAGAATTATTAGACTTTTTTGCGTTATTTTTAACTCACTTTTTTCATCTGTTAAAAAGTGTTGGCCTACTACATTTCATTAAAATGTATTTTGTAATCTGCATAAATGACATTTATATTGACCCATTTAAAAGTAAGAGTAATATTCATCTATTTATATTCATACAAAAAAAAACAAAAAAACAAAACAAATAGCAACACCTAAAAA